ACATTTTTCGTTGTTCCCCTTGAAAAACGGGGGAACAGTATACACCACACCACCCCGACGTCGTCCCCGACCCTCAAAAAGCCTTGGGATTGACACAACAACCCGCCACTGGTGATGTATTTGTTCCAGCCTCCGACTTTGGTGCGCGGATCGATGGGGGCGCAGGGTGGCCAAACCCAAGCGCGCCATCACCTGCTGCCGCATCGCGCTCCGCGATCGGAGGAGCCCCCAAATGGGCCCGCGCCGAAGGCCACCCCGGCGAGAGGTCACTCTCTTATACGCCCAGCCGAGGAGTGTGGGCCCCGACCCCCTGGTTACCTTGGGCGCCCGAGTTATCCGGGGTAACTCGGGTCCGGGGTAACTCGGGCTTGGATTCCCGAAAAAGGAACCCGAGTTAGCCCTGACCCGAGTTACCCCTGATGATGTGGGGCTCTGGACGCCCGAATTATCCGGGGTAACTCGGGCCCGGGGCAACTCGGGCTTGGATTCCCGAAAAACGAACCCGAGTTAGCCCTGACCCGAGTTACCCTTGATGATTCGGGGCTCTGGTTACCCCGGCGAGAGGTCACTCCTTTATACGCCCGGTTGAGGCGTGTAGGCCCCGACCCCCTGGTTAGGGAGCCCAAACAGGACGTACGCGCCCAACTATGTACAGGAACACGGCCCCTCGATCCGCGAGACCAGCCGCGTGATACAAGCATTCGCGCAATGCGTACTCTCGAAACCAGCGTGGATTCATGTACGTGTACGTCCTTCTTTCGCTCTGGACTGGTTACCCGAGTTAGCCCTGACCCGAGTTACCCCTGCCGATTCGGGGCTCTGATTACCGCCCAGCACCCCGGTGAGGCCGCCCACCCAGGCGGTCGCCACGGCGCCCCGGCTCTTCGAGGCGGCGCCGTCGTCCGGCAGCAGCGGGGTGGCCTCGGAGGGGTCCGGGTCGCGGGCCATGTGTCCCCGCGGGGGCGCAGCGGGCCCGAGTGCTGCAGTGGAGGCGCGGAAGGGGGGGCCACGTCGCGGCCAGCTCGAGCCAGGGGGGAGAGGAGGGGGGGGGGGGGAGAATGGGGAGGGGGGGCGCAGGAGGCGAGACCGAGGAGAGTCACGAGGCCCAGGGACGCACCAACCAATGAACACGGATCCCAGGATGCCATATATTTCCCATACTTTCGGAACATCGTCTTCCTTTCCACTCCCAATACTTTCCCATATTTTCCAAGGAATGGATGTTTATGTGTGACTGTGCCTATGTTTTCCTCCCGGTTGAAAGATAGAGAGGGTTGGAGAGAAAAAAAGAAAGAGGGTGAGAGAGAGAGAGAGAGAAAGAGAGAAAGAGAGAGAGAGAGAGAGTCGCGCGAGCACCCGCGTTGGCGGCTGGCGTTGTTGTGAGGACGGCAGGGGAGACCCTCGGCGTGCGAGGAGACGGGCGACACATGCACGAACCAGGCCAGCGCTTAAAGACCCCCTTTGATGGCATTTTCGTCAGCACCGAAACGACAAGAAGGAATTCGCGGGGGCGGATTGAGCGGATCGATACACTTAGCACAGCACCAAACGTCACCAAATGAATCATGCCTGCCTCTCCCTTCGACCGCACTTTCTGCGGTGCTACGCAGATCAAGGCAGGACCTCGACGTCCCGGGGGGGGCTGCGGACTGCGAGACGGTCGCCACTTGCCAGGGCTGCTGGGGGGCCTCCAGAGGAGTGCTCAGCAACGGCCACATGCCAGGGTGTCAAGAGAACGGTTCAGAGGGTGTCTTGGTGCGTTCTCCGTTTCCCTGGAAGGGGGGGGGGGGTCTTCGTCGCGGACCGAGGTTGGAAGCCCGAGCGCCGCGCAGCTCGAGACCACTGGATGGCGGAATGGCGCCGTGGCGGGATGGCGCCGTGGCGGGACGCTCCCTCGGCCGAGTGGAAAGCCCCGCGCCAGGTACCCCTCGCGGTGGGACGGCGTGGCCAGCGAGCCAAACTGGCCAGCCAGCGAGCAACACTCTGGGAGCGAAACCCGCCGGATCACGGGCGGCAGGGCTGTTGGCTCGACCCGCTGCTGGGCGCGGACGCGTGGACAGCGAGGAGCTCGTGGGGGGCGGGGGCCGTGAGGTCGGTCTGCCTCTGCATCTCGGCCTCGGCGGCATCTTGAGCGCTGGCGGGCGTCTTTGTGGTGACCGCGGCCGGGGCGAACGCCTCGTCGTGTTGGCGCTGGGGAGTGCGGCTGCGCAGCGTGAGGGCGCCCACCTGGGCGTAGGCGGCGGGGGTGAGCGGCGGCACATTGAGTTCAGCACCATGGACCGCCGTGTGGTGCGTGACCGGAGGACCGTGGTGCGGTCCGGCGAACGGACCGTGGCCCACGTCCAGGGAGGACGTTTCGTGGTCCGTGGGCGGGGGGCACCGTCGGAGCCAGTGGTTGGTCTTGCCTGTGGAGTTTGGTGGGCTGCCGTTCTCTCGCCTACTGGCCATGGAGGGGTATGATGCTGCGGAACGCGCTGCCGCCATAGCTCCGCGTTGGTGGAGCCACAACTGGCACGAACCAGCGTTCGGCGCCGAGGCTTGTCAGTGGAGGGTCAGGGTCCTTGGGGGAATCACGGCGGCGGAACGGGCGCTTGGGCACATCCATGCGGCATGTTTGACCCTCGGCTGGGTGGTAGGCCATTGCTCAACGGATGTTGGTTTGGCGACAGGGCAGGGGTGTCGGAGACCATTGCGGAGATCCGTGGGGCGGTGGGCGCGCTAATGGTGCACGCGGTCGACCTCGGAGGGGGCGACCGGAAGGAACTGGCCGAATGCTGAAGGAGCACGACCTGAAGAAACCGAGAAGTACTGAGACCGTTACTCCCTGGACGTCTCCCGGAGTGCGCTCTGACCAGAACTTCGAAGCGAATCCAGCGGCGGCGACGACGGCCCCCCCCCCCCAGGAGCAAAACCCAAGGAAAACGCGCCGAGGGTAGCGGTATAGGGTACTCTTCCCCTCTGATGAACGCCATGCAGGCCCCCCAAAGAGGCCCCGACACGGAGCCCAAGACGCTTCAGAACTGTGTCCAAGAGGCCCCCAAACAGCTCCCAAAACGCTCACACAAATCCCCAGATCGTGCCCGAGAAGCCCACGACGCCTCGACCGTGGACTCCCCGCCTCTTCTAAGGGTCGGCGGCACGGGGTAACCCTCTTGAGTGCAAGCCGCGCGGGCCCCCTCCCGCGGGTGCGACTCGTGACGTGACCGGCCCCCTCCCCCCCCTCCTTGCAGCGCCCGCGCCGCCGGGAAATCAACACGTTGCCTCCAGTAGGCCACCGGGAGGCCCTCGCAGGACCCCGGGCGGCCCCCCAGAAGCTCCCCCAACAGAAACTCCGAGAAGCAGTGCCCACCGCCCGTGCTCTCCCCCGTCCGGGCGCGCACGCCGCGGCGCGAGAGGGACAGAAACCGCGCGGGCGGGGGCCAGTGCTCGTGGGACTCGGGCGCGCGCGGGCGGGCGTCGTCGTCCGTCCGTTCGTCGTCCTCGCGCGCGCCTCCCCTGTCCGAGCGAGAGCCCGCGCTCGTCGCGCTGCCTCTCGGGAGGGCCGCGGGGGGCTGCGCCGCGGGGCGCGCTGCGGCCCTGCCACTGCAGCGGCTCGGCCGCGGTGTGCCGCCGGCTGCGCTGCCGGGGTGGCGGCCCGGTCTCGCCGGGGGGCGTGGAGCCAGGGAGCCGGGTACCCGGGCCTGGGGCCACGAGCAGCACTTGAGCCGAGACCGGAGGGAGAGAGGGAGAGGAATATATATATATATATATATATACATGTTTACATATATATATATATATACATATATAGAGAGAGAGGGAGAGAGAAAGAGAGAGAGAGAGAGAGAAAGAGAGAGAGAGAACATACACACACGCACTTTCTATCCTTCTCTCTCTCTCCACATATATACATACACAGAGAGAGAGAAGAAGAGACAGAGCGAGAGAGAAAGGAGAGAGAGAGAGAGAGAGAGCGAGTGAAGGGGGAGAGAGAGAGAGAGAGAGATCTGTCTCTCCATCGGGCGATAAACTGCCAAGGCTTATACCATACCCGGGTCGCCACGCCCCCTCTGACAATGATTCTGGCATTCGTTTCAGCGCGCCGTGCGCGCAACGTAACGGCGCAAACCTTCGAGTGGCCTCTGGCCGACCAGTTAAACATATAGAGCGAGAGAGGTAGCGAGGTATGCACTCATTCCACATGAAGGCACACGTGCATGATGAGTTATAGAGCGGTTCAGGGATACTTATACGTGTATGTGCATCGGTAGGTTCTGAACCATGTGCATATACGTATACCGATGAAGAGGCACACCGACAGACAGACAGACAGACAGACAGACAGACAGACAGACAGACAGACAGACAGACAGACAGACAGACAGACAGACAGACATATAGACATATCTATATATATATGTATACAAACAGACAGACAGACAGACGGACGGACAGACAGACAGACAGACAGACAGACAGACAGACATGCAAACGTACAAACAGACAGACAGGCAGGCAGACAGGCAGCCCGACAGTCAGCTGCACACGCAGATGTATACTATATTTACATATATGTGTAAACATACATACAGAGATGGATAATGGACACGGATGAACATCTGAGAGATGTGGAGGACGAAGCAGGAAATGAGGAGTAGGACGAGTGGGCCGTGAGAGGGATGACATCGAGAACAGGGAGGAACAAGTTGAAGCACGACGTAGGTCGAGCGTCTGCCTCCCTCGGACTCGCTTTCGGGCCATACTTCGGGCCGCAGGCGGCCATACTTCGGGCCTCCCTGAAGGCTCCCAACGGGGCGCAGCAGGTGGAAACCACCCCAGGGCCGGAACAACCTCCCCAGGCCTCCGAAAGACACCGCAACCTTCGAACATCCCTTCGAGGCGTAAGGAGGAGAAGGAGGAAGCCAGAACGAAAACGGAGACAACGACGACAAAGACGACGACGAGGACGAGGACGACGACGAGGGCGGCGAAGGCGGCGCCAGCGGCACCAGGGCCCGCGCCCAGTTCCCCGGCCGGGGGCAGCTCAAGGACTCGCGGGCTGGCCCCGAGCTCGGCGCAGTCCCAGCCCTCAGGGCACTCCTCCGCGGGGGCGGGTCGGTGACTACTACGGGTGCGTTGGTGGTTTGAAGAAGGTGTGGTTTGCAACCTCCACCCTGGGGGGCGGACGAGGACCTCGACGAAGTTCTCCGCCGCGCCCCGAGGAGGCCCGACGAGGGCAATGTGGTGCCCCCCCAAGCCTCAACGGCACCGATCGCAAACAAAACCCCGGCGTAACTACACCCTTTGCACTCGCCGAGCAGGGGCCTCGAAGACAGGAGGAAGCCCGAGGTTCGACGCCTCTGGACCTCTTTCGGCCCTCTTGGGCCCCCTGGGGTGCCCTCGCTGCCAGGGCTGGATTCCCCTCGAGGCTCCCTGCAAAAGTGCCGCCATCGAGAGGCCCGGGGACCGACTTTGGCTTGAAAGGGGGGGGGACGCATACGGCGACGGAGGTTGCCAGATGCACCTCGCCCCGAACGTCCCCCCAGCTCTTCGCGCCACACCTCGAAGCCACGCAGGGCCCCGCGGGCCTCGCCAGGACTGCTCCAGAGGGCGCCCGGGCCCCTCCAGAGGGGCCGGGGCCCGAGGCCAGGGCCACTTGTGGCGACACCCGATCCCGTGCGAGGGGAGGAGGAGGCGGAGGAGCAGTAGGAGGCGGAGGAAGAGGAGAAGGAGGAGGAGGAGGAGGAGGAGGAGAAGGAGGAGGAGGGAGAAGGAGGAGGAGGAGGAGGAGGGAGGAGGAGGAGGAGGAGGAGGAGGGAGGAGGAAGGCGGCTGCCACGGGCGGCGGGCGGCCTGCCAGCGGCCCGCGCAGGCGAGCGGAACGCAGGCGGCGGCGCGAGGCCGAAGCAGGCGGAGGCAGCGGACAGCGGCGGCGGCCGCGGCGGCGGCGGGGGCGGCGACGGCGGGGGCTGGGGGGGTGGACGACCAGGGCGGCGACGGCGGGGGCAGGGGCGGCGACGGGGGGGCCGGGGACGGCGCCGAGGACGACGACTGCGAGAAAGTACAGTGGAGAGGCCAGTCCACAAGAACCCTGCCACAAGAAACGCAAGCCTGAGGCCCCAGGGCGTCCATTGACTTCTGGTGCCTGCCATGGCAGACCATCGAAACCCAAGAAGCCCAGGGCACCCTGGAGGCAAGCAGGGTGTTTCTGGGCACGGGCCCCCGCTGTAGAGGCCTCCTTGATGGGGTCCGAGTAGATGGGGTCGGAGGATCGCGCCGCATCCCCGATGCCTAGAGGAAGAGGGGCGAAGCGGAAGGAGGGGGAGAGGGGGCCGTAGTGCCAGCAGCGCGCGGACGTTCATCTTCCATCCCGCACCGCCTTCCCCCCCCCACACACCGCTCTTCCACCTCCACTCGCCGTTTCTCCTCGTTTGCCTGCTAATCCAGCTCGTGCTGCTCCCGACGCTCCCGCTGCGTGCACCTTCTTCTGCTCTGGATCCTTATCCTGTTTCGGTTATCCGCGGTCCTCCTCCCAGGATGCTCCGTCATCGTTGTTTTTGACAGCGTGAACCCCCGGAGGTCTCGACCCCTTCCCAGGACCAGCGTTTTTTCGTGCTGAGTTCTAGCTGATGCTTCGAGTAGGGGGGCGACTACATAGTTGACTTACCCCAGAGTTGATTTCCTCGTTGAGTCTACAAGACTTCTGTAGATAATCTAGATCTACGCGCATTCCACGCCGTTTTTTTTCATGGGCTTGGCGAGAGAAACGATTTCGGGGTACATCAGCTACGTAGCCGCTCCCCTGCTCGAATGCTCCTCGGGCCGCAAGCGCCCCCCGGGCCGAAACCAGCTCAACACCTTCCGTCCTGATGCTCTCATGCTGTGCCAGTCGAGCCACCACGCTAAGACGAAGCCAGGACGAGGATACATCCGGGGGAGGCGAAGTCAGGAATATCCGAGATCCGGCGGCTCTGGAGGATGTCTCGGGCGTAGCGGCGTTCCCAGAGTGTTCCGCAGCTCTCTGAGGGCGTTCCCGAACGCTCTGGAAGGGATTAATCCTCGTCCTGGCTTGGGCGGCGCTCCATGGGGGGGCGATGAGTGGAGGGGGGAGAGGGTGCACTCCTCGGGCCCCAGCCCCCCTTTCGGGCCCGAAAGGGCCCCTTTAGGGGGCGCTGAGGAGCACCTTTCCTGCAGCCCTCGCGGCCCCATTACGCGACGCCCACCTGACTCGGGGGTCTTCTGACCAGGGTCAATCAAGACTCGGATCAATCAGGCCTGCAGTATCCTGCAAGATCCTGCGCGCAAGCCCGGGTCAATGCGCCCCTGGTCCTGCAGGATCCTGCAAGATCCGGCGCCCTGGCTGACCCCAACTTGCACCAACCCCCGCCTCTCGAGCCCCGACGAACCCCGTCCGGCACGCTTCGGGGGCGGGCGCGGTCCCCCAGGCACGAGGCGTGAGAGTCGTCCTTTTTGTAGCACACCAGGGGATTGCAGGTCTCGAAGTCCCAGCTGCACGCTTCCTCTCTGCAGCACCTGGGCGAGCGCGATCCCCCGATCAAGCGCGATACCCCCTCCAACGCCCCCAAGTCGACCGCGCCAGCGTGGAGTCCTACCAGCAGCAGCCCCCTATAGGCGTGAAGTGGTTCAGGGAGTCACCCAAATCGCACTTCTGCCCCGGGCAGGTGACCGATTCTGTTCTTTCTCCCCCGGGGAACGGTCGTTACCAGAGAGGGGGGGGGTTCGGGCGGGAGGATAACAATAACGGCGGCCGCGGCGTGCACCCGCCAGGGTGCGTCCGCGCCACCGGCGCATCAATCGCCTGTGTGCACCACAGCATGTACTGGGGGGGGTTCAGGCCCCCCCCCAGTACGATCGCTAGCGTTACCCCTGGGGAGGTGTTGGTGTGGGTAACGAGCGTTACCCTGGCCTGGGTTACGAGCCACCGGAATCGCACTTCTGCCCCAGGTACGGCCGAACCCAGGACATAGTAGCATCCTTCAAGAACATGGGACCCTCTGCCGGCCGAACCACCCCCAATCATAAGACCACTCGAGGGTACCCTCCCACAGGATGCACAAGAACCCCCAACAAACAACGAAGAGCATTAGTAGGGTACCCTCCCCGAAACGACTTCGATCTTATGATACCTCGGTCCGACCGCAACGAGCGTTACCCGCGCTACCCTAAGGATGACAACAAAACTCTCACTACAATGTATACATCCCACCTCCCGCGCCCCACGTCGCAATCTATTACCCCCTGGCCTGTGGACGGGGTGTGGCTTCGGGGTGGACCTCTCGAGACTACTCGGGGTCTCGCATCGTTCGGACGTCCATTCCCCGTGCATTTCTGGCTCAGTGAATTCATCTTTTCGCAAAACGATCCAAGATGCTGTTCGATGGCCCTCGCCGAACACGTCCAGGCAATACCAAAGAGGTGGTCTCTTGGGGCCCTGATGGGGCTCTCCGTGGACCTGGCAAGAGAAGAGCCCATGTCAAATCGATAAATCGGATCAACGATCGAAATTAAATCGGATCTGCGGAAATCGGCAGCAGAGTCTGGAGAAATCGAATGGGCGGAAATCGGCAGGCTGGAAGGCCTCTGTTGAGAAATCGGAATCCGAATCGGAATCCGAGGTCGAATCGAATCGGAATCGGAAGCCATCGAAATCGAATCGAATCGAATCGAATCGGGAGAATCGGAACGAGCCCTGGCCTTGTGTGGAGCCTTTGGAGTCTTCCAGGGGGACCTCTCGAGCGCCAAGCTTGACCTTGTTTGCCGATGAGACATTTGGACGCATCTGGGCCCCTCTTTCAAGCTCCTTGGGCCTCTCGTGGGGTCCTCTTGGAGACCCATGGGACCATCTTGGTCGCCTCCTGCGCTCGTCGTGGGATCCCGTGGGATCATCTCGAAATCTCGAGAGCCAATCGGAAGAGATAAAGGGTCAATGCTACAACCACTGAACCACCCATGTTTTTCAAGATAATCGGCCTCCCAGAGCCATCCTTTGGAGGCTCCAGGGCCACCTCGGGCCGTCTTGTGGCAGCCTGGAGGCTCTTTGGAAGCACAGTGGAGGCTATCTTGAACCGTCTCGGTCTATCATGAGCCATCTTGGAGGCCATCTCGTCTTGTCTTGCCCTGCCGATGCCAAGACGGCGGCGGGACACGACGTGTCCGTGGCCGCGAGCCAACTGAAGGGTTGACCCGTTCTTCAGGGAAGTCCTCACCAGGTGTCCGGACCGGCCTCTGGACCCCCCCTCTCCACCCCCTTCATCACGCTGGGCACACTTAGATCAACTTCGATCGCAGCGCCTGCTCCACCCCCATTCCACCACCCCTCCCAGAGTTCACCCTGGCCTTCATCCTGGGTAGATTTCCGACAGCCTCCGAGGCCCCAGATGGGTTGGGCGTCAGCAGAACTGGGTTCCTTGGCACCTCGTTTAGTGACGTGTACCAAGGGACGCCCTTCCCGCCCCTAGCTGGAACTGCCGTCACCCGAAAGACACCGGCTACGGCAGACCTGGCTCAGTGATTCCAGATGATCTGTTGGACTTCTTCGGGGCCCAACGACTGACCAGTTCCCCTGAACTGGGGCCCTGGTCGAATGGGACTCGGAGAGATGAACACTACGAACAAAAACTCCCGGAACCTCCTGCAACCTCCGACCTCCACCTCCCCCGATGGCCCGGGCCGCGGCACTGGCCTGACCTCCCAACCAAATCTCTGGGGGCATTTTTTTGTCCTGGATCCGTTTTGATGGAGGCGTAAGTTTGAAAAACGCCAGGCTTGAACAACTCAATCTACTGGGAACGCAATCAAAACGTATATGAAGGACGACGGTGGTTCGGACGCAAAGGCCCTTGGAGGCCGAAGTTGGGATTTGTTTGGGCGTCGGGCGACCAGTGAAACCAGCAAAGGACGGCCGCAGAGGCAAGGACACACTGGCACCCTAGATGAAGGCGCGCGTCCTTACTAGGCGCGTTGACTGTATGAGCTTAAGTCCTTCCTTCCTATGAGGCCCGAATCGATTCCTGGATCGCCTTCCGGCGGCCCCGGGGGCCCGAGTCGGGCTTCTCCAGTGGCCGAGAATTGCGGACATCCCCCTCGAACCCAGAGCATCGGGGGGTGCTAAAGGTGCTCCTGGGCCACAGTGCCCCGGTTCGTTCCCTTCTGGAGCCCCCTTGGGGCCTCCTGGGCCTCGCGAGGGGTGCCCCGAGGCCATGGCAGGCCTCCTCGGGTCCGGGGCCCTTCTGGCGACACCCGAGGGCAACCCCATCCCGAGGTCCGCCTGGTCTGGCTGCAGTCGTCGCCGGCCCAGCTGCAATTCGCGCTCGGGTTCTCCACCGTCTCCACCCGCAGGACCGACCGCATGGGCGCCTGGCAGCCGCCGTCGGCGGTGGCGGGCGCGCCCCCCCCCCCCTCCCCCCCGCCGAGGCCTCCCCCCCCTCTCCTTGCGAGCCTCCCCCTATCCTCATCTTCCTCGTCCTCCTCCTCGTCGTCCTGGCCCTCGTCGTCCTCGTCCACTCCCTCGTGGCCCCTGCAGTGTAGACCCACCATGGGGCCCCCGACGTGGATCCGCCGCAGCGTCTCGACCGCGGCTGCCGTCTCATCGGTGGGGATGCCATCCCACGCGCACTTTGCCGCTCCAGGGGCGGCCTTTCACGCTGGGCCAGCCATCGGCGTCGGGAGCGGCTCCATCTCTCAGAGAAAACTGCGATGTTATATGTCGGGTGCTGGGGCCAGCGGCAGTGGCTCCCGAGGCGCACGAGTGCCTCGAGCGGTGAACTCGTAGGGAGGAGGCAGCGGCGGGTAAAGCCCAGTGGGTGCGCCCAGCGAACTTGCCGCTGGGGTGCGTGCTCTCGCCGAGCTTTCGTTTGAAGAGTTGCCCATTGTGCCGAAACTTGCGCCCGATTGACACTTTTGCGATATCGCGTGCGTCATTCGGTGAATATCTGGTGTGCGAGTCGTTGGATTCTCTTGTTGGTGCAGCTCAAGAGATTCGGAGCGCGGATCTCCCGGCGGCGCGTCTCCAATAGAGCAAAGATGACGCCACGGGAGCTGTTATGACACTCCCGCTGCGCGAAAAAGATTCGCCTTTCCTGTGGCGACCACTCAGGAGTCGACTCAGAGATGTCTTGCGGTGCAGATGCTGACCTGTCCTTTCGGTGCTCTTTCGACCGTTTTCTGGTGGCATCGTATCGGAGACGCGTTTCAGAGGGTGTTGCATGCTTTTCTGGTTAGCCTAGCCGCGATTCGTCGACGACATGTTCGGATTAGAATATGTCGCTCGTATGCCTGGTGAGAACTGGTTTCAGAATTACTGAGGTGGGTAATCCAGCACGTGTTATGTTGGGAACTGAATGCTAGAAAACATCTAGCCGCCGCAATGTCTGCGCTGGTCCTCCGAATCAGCGTGGGTTTCTCCGAAGACCGCGCGTGCACGGTTTTCCGGATGCCCCTGGATAAGTTGCACAAGTTGTAGAAAGGAGCTGGTGAGATCTCGCGTCTCGGCTCGACGCCGCGCGCAAGCTCGCTGGCAAACTTAGCTGGGGCACAACATCAATGTTTCATCGACGGGCCAAGGGTTGCCTGGCTTCTCTATCTCACAACGCTTCCGGCACCCGGGTGCGAGTCGAAGGCTGCTTGCGCCATACCCTTCGGTGGTGGGCGCCTTTCCTGGCCACGAGAGCGAATTGCAGTGTTCCGCTTTCGGCATGGCAACTGCCTCGGGCCATCCTGCACAGCGATGACACGGGAGAGGGGGGGACACGCGTAAGTGACACTGCGCGGTTAAGTGCGATTGTTTGCTAGCGCTGCCGTGCTCAGGGCCCTGCGAAGTGGGTGGGTGCGCCTGTGACGACACCAACTTGCAACGTGGGGATTCGTGGCACTTGTCCGCGGTTAGCGGTTGATTATTCGACCACCGGCTTGACCTGCCCAGCAGGAAATTGTAGCACTAATCGACTTACAATGGCGCTTGACACGCTTCGTTACGGGCGCAGACGGCAGCTTCTTCTTCTTGAAAACTACTAGTCGTATTATTAATATAGTTATCATCATTAGTCGTACTGGTATGACCATTATGATCGGTATCATTCGTATTTGTATGATTCGTATCATGAATCTGTTGATGGTTAATATGGTTACTAATAGTAATCGCAGTAGTATTAGTAGTCGTATCAGCATGATAATCATGATGTGCATCAATTGGTTGTTATTCGCATTCGTAATATTATTGCTCGTATTGTTACCATAACTCCAATTTCTTGTATTGAGATTAACGCCGTCGTGGTAGACATCTGATTTCCTGTTGCCGAGAAGGGAATCATGCTGACAGCGTGGTGTGTCCAATCGAAGAACAATCTCGCACGCCTGCCGCCCAATACCCCCGTGGAGGAGTTTGTCGGCCAGCTGGAGACTGGTGAATGTACAGAGTGCGAGTGGGCGTGGACAGGGGTGCCGCCTTGATCTGGAGCGCGGTGAAAGTTATAGAAAGAAACCAATCACTTGCTCAACTTGAGGCTGTCCTCTCCACTGCTCGTGCAAACGTCCCACCCATCCCACCCACGACGACGACGACGACGCCGCCGACAACGACTACGACGACGCCGACGACATCTCCAACGACTTCGACGACGACGACGACGACGACGACGACACCGACGACGACGCCGCCGACGACGACGACAAGAGACACACATTGCCGTCACCTCATCTCGCACTCGTCCTGCCCTGGATTTCGTGCGGCCGCGCCCCACCGAGAGCTATCCAGAAGATAGACTGGCATCCCCAGGGTCGGGCCTCTCTTATGATGCGGAAGCTGTGTGGCATCATTGCAGACGCCCTCCCAGAAGCTCCGCTGGGTGATGCCATGACCCTCGGACTGTTTCCGTGGCGGTGTCTTCAGGACTCGTTAGGGTCCAGCTTCCTGCAGCGACGTGCCATTAGTTGGTTCGTTGCCGCCGGCTTTGGCGTCGCTTGCTGTCTGTAGCCGCTGGCCCAGCATGTCTCATTCACTCACTTGAAGCCAAAGCCAAAAACTAACCAAATATGCTCCTGGGTCGAGCACCTCTGCTGGCGGCGGCGCCGGCAACATCGCTGCGGCCGCATCGGGAATGCCCGCTGATGCAGCAGACAAGAAACCCAGCAAATCCGGCCGTGGCAAGAGTCCTGTGTACTCTGCTTGCTTGGTGCCCTGATCTGTTGTCAACCGACTCGTTCGGGACAGACAGACCTGGGTAATAGAATGGCGGTGGAACTCGGCGACCTGGGCGCCACGGGCTCAGGCGACTTCCAGGGTGCGTCCGCCGAAGATCTCGCGGAGGTGTGGCCGCCGTCAGCGGACGCCCAGGTCCGCGAACGCACAGTGCAGGGCTTGTCAGCTGCAGCGTGCTCCGCGGCGTCTCCAGCGCCGCCGAGGCGCCTGCCTGTGCCGCCGCGCGCGCCGGAGGCAACTGACCTTGCAGAGGCAACATCAGAAGCAGAGGTTCTCCAACTAGCCCGGGTTGCGCTGGCGCCCCCGCCGCGAGATGCGCTCGCGGCGGCGGCGGCGACCCTTGGCCCTTGGCAAGGGTCGCGGCGAATTGGCGACGCGGCGGAGACTGGCGTGCGCCGCATGCCATGGCTGCCAATCTGCGCCCAGCGGACGCACAGGGGGTAGTCATCAACGAGCTCGTGCAATCAACGAGAGTTTCAGAGCTGGCATAATGGTGCTGTGAAGTACGCCAACCTGGTGGGCTCTGGGGCAAGGTTTGTTGCGCCGTCGGTTTTGCGCCGTGGCAACCCTTGGAAGCTGGCCGCGGTACTTTCGCGATCGCTGTCCACCGCGAGACAAGCATGGTCAAATATCTGTCCTGGATCCGCTCCGTTCTTCGCTTGGTCAACGCACCGCTCGGCGTTCTGAGTGAGTGGCACGGCCAAACTCGGCAGAGAAGCTCTGAAAGGGCCTCGGGTGAACAGGTACAAGCCCTGGGCGTCGGCGAAGCAGACACGCGATGTGAGCCGACATTTGCGGGCCAATCTGGGGGAGACCAGCCTCGCGGATTGAATTGTGTAGGCCAAGCATTTCTGTTTGAGGTTCGGGTCAGAGGTCATGACCCGGATCCCCTGAAGAAAGAGCACCCCCCAAGCTAGCACACGTATTTTTCCAGAAACGTAAGAGGTGCAACTCTCCGGTAGGATTCGTAAGGAATTGATTATGTTAGCCGCAGGCACCAGAGCCGTGCGGCGTTTGCGTGATACTCCTCTTCCACCTCCCTGCCTCCTCCTCCCTCCTCCTTCATCCTCCCTAGCGCCTCCTCCTCCTTCTCTTCCTCCTCCTATTCCTCCTCCTCATCCTTCCACTTCCTTCCTCGTCCATCGCACCTCCTCCTCATCCTCCTACTCCTCATCCTCCTCCTCCTCCTCCTCCCCCTCCTCCTCCTCCTCTTCCTCTTTCTCCTCCTCCTCCTTCTTCTTCCTTCGCCTCCGCCTCCTCCTTTTCCTCCTCCTCCTCCACCTCCCCCTCCTCCCTCATCCTTCCTTCTCCTTCCTCCTCCCTTGCTCCTCCTCCTCCTCCTCCTCCTCCTCCTGTGTCTCCTCCTCCTCCTCCTCCATTATTTTCCTGACAACTAGCTTTTCCCTGTTACACACCCGGGGCCGGTCGAAAAGGCGGGCTGTTTCGCCTCATACCTCTTCACCATATATGACCCTGACGCGTAGACACTGCAAGCAATTTTACGGATTGAGGGCGGGTGTTTTCCAACATGTGGCTCTCGCTTTAGCGCCGCGCAAAGTCGTTTTCAAAATTCGCAAAGAAAAGTCACGGATTGAGAGCGGGTGGCTTTCAACATGTTGTCCTCGCCTTAGCGCCGCGCACATTCGCTTTACACATCTGCAAGGGTTCAACGGATTGAGGGAGGGTGATTTTCAACATGTGGCTATCGCTGTAGCGCCGCGCACAGTTGTTATAACAAGTTGTAAGAGCTTTACGGATTGAGGGCGGGTGCTTTTCAAACTGTGGATCGTGCTTTAGCGCCGCGCACAATCGTTTTCAAACCCCGCAAAGAAAAAAAACACGGATTGAGCGCGGGTGGTTTTCAACATGATGTCCTCGACTTGGCGCCGCGCACGCTCGCTTTCAACATTTGCAGGAGTTTATCGGATTGAGGGCGGGTTGTTTCCAAATGTGGCTATCGCTTGAGCGCCGCGCACAGTCGTTTTCAAAATGTGGCAAGAAAATCACGGATTGAGAGCGGGTGGCTTTCAACATGTTGTCCTCGCCTTAACGCCGCGCGCATGCGTTTAAACACTCGTAAGAGATTAACAACGGATTGAGGGCGGGTGATTTCCCAAATGTGGCCCTCGCTTGAGCGTCGCGCGCAGTCCTTTTCAATATTTGCCAAATTTCACGGATTGAGAGCTGGTGGCTTTCGACATGGTCTCCTCGCCGATGCGCCGCGCACATTCGCTTTACACATTTGGCAGGGTTTAACGGGCCCAGGGGGGGTGAGTTTCAACATGTGGCTCTCGCTTCAGTGCCGCGCGCAGTTTCTATAACAAGCTGTAAGAGCTTTACGGATTGAGGGCGGATGCTTTTCAAAATGTGGCTCTCGCTTTAGCGCCGCGCACAGTCGTTTTCAACATTTGAAAACATTTCACGGATTGAGGGCGGGTGGTTTTCAACATGTTGTCCTCGACTTCGCGCCGCGCACACTCGTTTTCAACATGTGCAGAACTTTAACGGGTGGAGGCCTACCTGTGGCTTTCGCTCAAGCGCCGCGCGCAGTCGTTTTCAACAATTTATAAAACAAGCACGGATTGAGAGCGGGTGGTTCTCAACATGTTGTCCTCGCCTTAGCGCCGCGCGCATGCGTTTAAACATTTGCAAGAAAAAGGTTAACAACATAGTGGGAGCGGGTGGTTTTCAAAATGTGGCCCTCGCTTCAGCGCCGCGCGCAGTCGTTTTTTTTTTTTTTTACATTTGCAGAAATCTACGTATTGAGAGCGGGCGGCTTTCAACATGTTGTCCTCGCCTTAGTGCCACGCACGTTCGCTTCACACATTTGCAGGAGTTTAACGGGTTGAGGGAGGGTGGTTTTCAACATGTGGCTCTCGCTTTAGTGCCGCGCGCAGTTTCTATAACAAGCTGTAAGAACTTTACGGATTGAGGGTGGGTGATGTTCAAAGTGTGGATCTCGCTTCAGCGCCGCGCACGCTCGTCTGACATATTAGCAAGAGTTCCGCGGACTCCCACGGCCAACCTACCAGCAATGGTGTCTCGGAAATGCTCAAAAGTGTGAGGGCGCAACGGTTACGCTGATTCGCGGTGTTGAAGTCCCAAGAATGGTGTTCTGGCACGGTTCACGATCGTCAAGACGCAACAGTGAGGTTGATTCATTCGCGGCGTTGGGTTCTCGAGAGTGATGTTTTCGCGTGTTTCAGGGTCTTCAAACGGTTGTCTCCCAACGAGGCAGTTCCCTCAGTTGAGATGAACTCTTGTATGAGCCTGCGGAGAGGGAGCTTGAGGGGAGGGTTTATTCTTACATCGTTGATGAGACTTGGTTTTACACTGGTCCTCCGCCTCCTCCTCCTCCCTCCTCGCTCCCCTGCCCCCCTCCTCTTTTCCTCCCATATCCCCCCCCATCTGGAGGCCCAAGCACGCCCCAGGGTATGTAGCGAGGCGGCCTTGGTGGTCTCCGCGCCGTCCCCTGACTCCGGGGCGTCCTCCTCCGC